CAGTGATTGCATTTACAATGTACTCGGAAACCAAACAGTTTGCAATTTATGCAGAGTTTGAAGCATCAGGAATCTTTCATTTTATTGCTCTAAATAAATGGATTTAAATAGCTCTTCTCTGAAAAATATTTAAAACCCCAAACGACGAACCCTACGGAAATGCGTGACCCATTAGTCAATAATTATTTAAGACACGTAATTGATACCTGACGAGGATCATCGTGTTACACACTCTTATTGGCAAAGGGAGGTTCATTCTAGCCATTAGTCGCTTCTTTATGCTGAACAAGGCGGTATTTATTCACTTTAAAGCAGCTCAATCGATGTGAAAGACTAAAAAAGACATCCTTTGTAATGGAGGCAGGTTCGCTTTCAATATTTGTGTGTACCCTTTTCGTGTTTTCTGCCGAAGGTAAGGTTTAGAAGTGTCTCATTGTTAGAAGCCATTGTATGCTCATGTGTATAAACAAAACTAAAGCTATGATCTTACCGGATAGAAATTGAAATAGAAGCTAAGAATTGGTGGTTTTCGCACAAAATGTATTGTGTATTTTTGAAAATGAAAGTTAGACGAGGCCAGGATATGTATCTAAGAATGTGTAAGTTCAACCTGGTCGTCAACGAACTAAGTTGTCGGAATATTGAAGTGAACATTTCTCAATAAACATATTATCAACAACTATATGGAAACTGAGGCACCCCGTCGTTTCCAGTCATGTATCTTGCTTTCGTGATGTGAGTCTTGACGGAAAAAGCGGACGCCATCACGAGAACAGTAAGGAATGCGAAGCGAACCGACAAGAGATGTCTTTATAAGTGCCTATGGAAAGCCTGCAATTCAACGCAAAAGGGAAAGTGATTTCCTCACGATAAAATAATGTTCGTGAAAGTCGAGGCATCATTAAATGTATCGAAACCAGAGAGTTGCCTTTTTTCTTATTTGTCTCGTACTTTTACGAATATGAGATGTTGTGCTATACACGCATCGTTCGAGACTTCCGTGTTTGCTTGTGATAGTCACCTGGATTAAAACTGTTCTTTATTGATTTTTTAAATGATGATGGCGCTTTTGGTAACAGGTAGCTCATTAAATTCGTCAAATTTTCGTTCGGTAAATGTTTCATTTTTTGTTGGGTCAATTATGTTTTCAATGGCGTTAATTTTTGCCGATGATGATTGAGACTGTGTGCGTGACGAGGGGAGATTATGAACCATGTTTTGAAAATGGCTGAGTTCTCTTCTTAATGCAAGGAGTAAAAACACTTGAAAAATGAGAGTGAATAAATGTAAGGAAGCGCAAGTAAACGAAAAGCGTTCATCCCTGAGGAGTAATATCAGAATAGCACTCCTATGTAAAATTTCTCTGCTAACACGTCGTGGCAGAAACTCAACTATATTCTTCGATCGAATTCATTGCATATTTCTTATCAAATATCTTACAAACTGCTGAGCATGTTGAATAATTATTTTTTAGTAAAAAGAAAGCCGTTCCTTCCTTTTTTGATTGTACCAAAAATTTATGCACCTTGAAGATAACCCTATTTTTGAAAAAAAAAAAATAAATTCCTTGTTGCGATGTGTCTGATATGTAATAAGTCGTAGATTATGTCAAAATATCATAAGAACAAGTAAAGTCGCAGACGAGGCGCAGCCGAGTGTGTTACTGATACATATTGACTTCGTCTGTGATCTATTGACTGAACCAGTCCAAATGAGTGGATAGTTCAGCTTTTTACATAAATTGATATAGTAATTTAAAATAACACGTTTGTCGGTTACTATACAGATAAGATTAATTTAACAGTAGCGAAATCAAAATACTTTTGTAAAGAACTACAAATGGTTAAAGGGAGTTAGGATATTTACAATTCAACATTTATGCATTTTTCCCCTTTTTTTTCCTTTTCTTTAATTTAATTTCGAATTTTTCTTGAATGTCTCAAGAGTGTAAAGTTATAAAGTGATATATTTATT